AGAATTTATAGTTATAGGAATAAAAGGATTAATGAGAAAAAAATTAGGATGTAAGGTTTTAGTTACCATATATGATGAAAGAATTAATAATATAGATAAAAGTATGATTGCTAGTACAGAAGTTGATATGAATAATAATAATGAAATAATTTATCGTAATCCAGATTTTTTATTAACTATTAAAGATTTTTCAGACAAAATTAAGATAGGAATTCAAATAAAAGGATATGAAGAGGTAGAAAGTGGAGCAATTTATTAATTAGTATAGAATTTTTATGAAGATGTTCAAATAATTTTCAGACAAAATATAAAATTTATATAGATAAAGTAGTAAATTTAATGAGTAGCAAAGGAATTAATATGGTTAAACCTAAAGAATATTCATCAGAACAGTTAGCAGGATTAGAATGGGATATGGATAAATTTTTAGAAAATCAAGAAACAATTATAGCACCACAAGAAGTATTAACCTATAAAGATATTCATAGAAAAATCAGTTTAAGATTTTTAGATTATAATCAGATACAAAGACAAAATGAGTTTGAAGAAGAAACTAATCCTGAAGAAGAACAAATTGAACCATTTCAAAATCAAGTTCATATAGAATTAATAGATGAAGAATTTGATAGAATAATTTATCCAAAAGAGTTAAAAGAATTATTAGAATTAGAAGATCAAATGTATCTTAATAAGACAATTACAGAATCTGAATATTTATATTATGATCAAGAACAAAATATAAGAATATGAATTATTAAACAAGATAATTATTCAGAAAACTCAGATTTAAGCTATACAAAAGAACTTATGGAAGATTCAAATACATATAGAACTTTTAGTGATACTCCTTTTGATAGAACAATTAAACATGAGGCAATGATTTATGGTGGAGGATTTCCCCCAAGAGGAGCTTATCCTTTATATAATAATACAGAAGGAAAATATATAGCAAGAGGAAGTGAAAGACCCTTAGAAAAGAAAATAGAATTCCAATCAGATCATAAAGCACAGATTTTAAATATTACAGCACATGATCCACAGACATGAAATAATGTAATAGATGTATGAAAAAAATACTATAATAGGACATTATATTAGAAATTTTCAAGAAATAGAAACTTTAGATATGTATAGATACTTAGAAACATTCTTAGGAGAAAGTGTAAAAACTATGTGGGAAGCATTTAAATTAGAAAAGAAAGAAGAATTTGAACAATTAGTTAATATGGGAAGCAATCCTTATAATTTTGTTAATAAAATACAGATATTAATAATAGGAGCAGACCCAAATTTAGGACATATGAGTATAGAAAGAAAAGCTACGAGAGATTTAGAACAACTTAGTCTTTATAAATGGACTAAAGGTAGATATGTTAAAAACTTTTTAAATGAATACCATTATTTAACTTCAATATCAGGAAATACCTTTAATCAAGAAATTGGTAATAAATTATTTCATAAATTACCAGGACCATTAGAATTAGAGATTACAGAAAAATGGAATAATTTAGCATCAGTAAAGGAAGAACAAAAAAAACAATAGAGTATAGGACAAAGAATTCAACATGTAATTAGATGTTTAGAAGATAAATGTGTAGAGTTACAAATTCAAAAACAACTTAAAAAGACAGACTATAAATTTTGTAAAGATATTTTTACCCCACAAACTCATGGAGTCTCTAGTTCAAGAAAAAATAAATATAGTAATAAAGAAAGGAATAAGAAAAGACCTTTTAAGAAAAGATACTTTCTTAGAAAATCTAATAAGAGAAAACCATATTTAGATGAAAAAAGATGTGAGGAAATTCAAACCAGAAAGAACTTATAAAAATAGACTTAGTTGTTATGTCTGTAATAGTAATGAACATTTATCTAAGACTTGTCCAAAAAGAATAAATAATTATGATAAGAAGAGTATATTAATAGAATGTACTAATGAAGATTTAATACAATTAGATGAATATATTTTAGATAAAGAATTTATTTATAGTATTATATCAATAGAAGACAAAGATTTAGAAGAAAATAAAGAATCTGATTATGAAATAATAGAAGAATTTTCTAATATAAGATTACAAGAAGAATCAAAATAAGAAGAAGAACTAAATTTAATGAATAATATAATTATAGAATGTTTACATAATTGACAAAAATATAAAGGAGCAGATAATATAACTTGTTATTTATGTAATTGGTATCCAGTTAGAAAACTTAGAGCTAAATGTATAGAATGTTACAAAGAAGCATGCATAAAATACTTAGAAGAAAAGAACCTTATTAAAAAAGAAGAAATTAACTCAGAAATTTTAAATGAAATAATAGAAGAATTTTCTAATATAAGATTACAAGAAGAATCAAAATAAGAAGAAGAACTAAATTTAATGAATAATATAATTATAGAATGTTTACATAATTGACAAAAATATAAAGGAGCAGATAATATAACTTGTTATTTATGTAATTGGTATTCAGTTAGAAAACTTAGAGCTAAATGTATAGAATGTTACAAAGAAGCATGCATAAAATACTTAGAAGAAAAGAACCTTATCATAACAAACAATACACCATATATATATATATATATATATATATATATAATCTATAATTTAAAATCAACATCAAGCCTGCTATATTAAAGAATTAAATATAATATTATTGTGACCTAATAAGGTGACTGTATTTATCATAACAAACAATACACCATCTAACTTTATTCAGTTTAAATTCATACTCTCTTTGATTGACTTGATAAAGTATAAAGACAAAAATCAAACTAATATCATTTCTGTCGTAATCACTACTAGCTGTAATTTTATATTTAATTTCGTATACACTTTAAATTATTAAGCCAAAACATACTCTAAAAAAGAGTAATTGACCCAAAAAAAAAAAAATTTGTATCGTTTTTGTCCTTTTGAAATCATCTATATCATTTTATTTTTTTATTTTAATTTAATTTAATTTGATTATTATTATTATTTTTTTTTTAGCCCTCGAATTGATGATTATTTGTGGAAATCACCCATGTTGTATCATTCAATCAATTTGTTCTGACAATGACTGTGTGTCGTGCACTCACATGATTTGCCCAATGTACTTTAGTCAAGATATCTCGATTGACCATCTTTCCTTGAAAAATATGTTTAGGCTTTGTTTGTCTTTCGTTCTTCCACATTTTATCACATTATTTTTCTATTGTATTCATTTTCAATCACATATTTTTTATTAAAATAATATTATACGTATATGAAAAACTTTTATTTCTTTTTTAACCACGTATTTCAAAATCAATGACCAAATTGAAGCACTGCAATTCACACTAGTTTTATTTGATATGTGAATAGAACGATTAATTTTAATTACACGACTCACATAATGACCAAATTGAAGCAAAAGGAAATGAGTTTAACACAAGAATGCATTCCTTAAAAATGGGATGAAGAATGTGTGGATGAAAAGTTTTTGATTTACGCGTAATATTATTTTAATGAAAAATGTGTGGTTGAAAAGAAGAAAGAATAATAAATTTTGAGAAAAATGGAAATCAGACGGGGCCTTATAGCATACTAAGTCATAATAAAATTTTACAATTAACACATTTTTCTAGGCCCCGTTTGGTACCCCTTTTTTTCAAAATTCATTTTTCTCTGTCTTCTTTTCAACCACACATTTTTCATTAAAATAATATTACACATAAATTAAAAACTTTTCTTTATTTTTTAACCACACATTTCCTATCAATTTACTATTTAAAAATGTATTTTCACATAAAAATATCTCCCAAACACCCTCTAATTCGTTTGCACTTAAAAAAATAATCTATAATTAGAATGGGATAAGCACGAAATGAAAGCAATATATTACTTGCCACCTTTAATTATTGTTGGGTCGCCCAAAGATCACTACTTGACAGGTAGCACCCAAGCAAGTACTTCAGTGCGCCACGTAGCCCTAGAGAGGGCCCCACTGCTTCATCATCCGACTCAATTATCAATCATGCATTTCTTGTTGCATATGGTGACTGGGTCCCGCCAAATTGACACTTATCAATCAATGTAGCCTTTTTTTTGGTTTGGCTGCAATTTTTCAAAAATCATTTCTATTTTATTAACTTTTATCAAATTTATTGAAAATTTAAATTTTCAATTGAATCAGAGCCTGTTTGGGAGTGATTTTGAGAATTGATTTTTTGACTGTTAGGAAAAAAGTGGGATCCACCTGTGAGAGAAGAAGTCAAATATGACGGCTGAAATAGTGAAATAACGGTCAAAAAATTAATTTTTTGGAAGAAAAAATCGTTCCCAAACAGACCCTCATACTGCTAAGCCTTCTCACGATAAATTTACAAATAAGAATAATCATGATTTTTCAAAATTAATTTTTTAAAGATTGAATTTTAGTAAAAAAAAGGTGATTTTAAGACAATGTTTAGTAAAATAAATTACATATATGTATGTTTAATTTACTTTTAAACAACCAAACTAATTTCAACTTAAAGAATTATCTTTATTGGTAAGTTAATAAGAGGTTTTTTGCAATCATTTTAATAAACATAATAGTATTTTTCATTAAAAAGGAATAATATCAACAACATTTTGCTTAATTTCTCATATGTGAAAGTTAGAAATAAAGATAAATTACATAATTCATACTATCCGACCAAAAAGATAAATTACTAAATTCATTATTTTCTAACAAAAATAAGTACCTATTAATAAAAATTAAGTAATTCTATAAGTTGAAAAATAAAAAAATTACTTAAAAGTGAGCATGCGTAATTTTAGCTTAGTCAAACACGTGGTGTTAAAGTTCAACAATCAAAGTCTATTTTGCAATTCAAGTTTATGCCTCATTTTTACTCCAAAAAGCTTATCAAGAATTCATATATGGTAGTAATTGCAAAGGATACAGTCGGTGAAGAAAACGTTAAACGAAACTACAAATAATTCTTGGTGTAAGATTCTTTCACACATTTTTCTTTACTCAGGGAAACCTGAAATTTTGATAGAACTAAATAGGGGCCATTTCGTCACATTTTGCTCAAATTTTCCAAATTGTTCTTCAGATTTCTTTTTATTATCCTGTCTCTGTAAAGTTGTTACCTTTTTCTTTTCGCAAACCCACTTTTTTTGCTTAAACTTTTTTATTGAGGTGGGGTCCTTTTGATTATTTTGGACTTAGTTCACTTCATTCTGATTTTTGATTCTGCATCTTGAAAAACTTTTCATATCACAGTCAGGTATATTTTCCCTTTGCTTTTCTGTTGTTCTGTTTTCTGCAATAAAAGTTTTGCAATTTACACTTTCTTGATGTTACAGTTCTTCATTTTCTTGGCTTAAACCTCCATCCCAACTCGACACAGCACCTTGTTTTGTGTTCTCTACCTTTTACCGTTAGCATAACAAGGGGTGGTGTGGTGCCGTGTTATGCCTCCATACATGTGCGGTGTTCTTTTGTTGTTATGTGTGTTTCAACTTATTAGTTATTTTTGAGATTTTCTTTGCACCTTAGCTTTCTGGGTTTCTAGACTTGTAATTTTCTTTAAAATATCTTTAGGCTTTATCTTTGTTTTCTAAAGATTTCTGATCCGGTAACTGCAGATTTGATGCTTTCGCTTGTACTTCAGAAAGTCCAGTGAAAATTCTTGAAACTATTTTTTTTTTCCCATTATTTTCTAGATAAAGAAAGAAGAAATGTCGGGTGGAGGAGCACCGAAGGTAGTTGAACCAGCGCCACACCCACCAAAGGATCAGCTTCCCGATGTTTCCTTCTGCATTACCAGTCCTCCTCCATGGCGTTAGTTTCTTAAAACATTTTCTTAACGTTTCTTTGCAATCTAGTATAATTTTTCTGTAATTCTTTCACTTTTTAGTATAAAATGGTTGTGTGTTCTGTTGGTCAATTATAGTTATTATTTTCGTTTAAAAAGTAATTTTTTTTGCTTTTCATTATAAGCCGTGTGTATATGCTATTATTCTTTCTGCCATTTATTATAACTTTTTTGTGGGTTGATAGAATGGGCTTGCAGATTGTTATATATGCTTCAGGTCAATTAGTAACCCATGGGTTCTAATTCTTGCAAAAATCTCCAATCTTCAAATGTTCAATCTGCTTCGTTCTATATTTGATGAACTGATGCTCGTGCTATATGCATTATGATGTCAGGAGAAAATTTTATACTGGGAGACTCCAATGGATTTGTGGGGGTATGATGTGCTTTCAGTCTAGAATCTGGCATATTCTTTGGTTTTGATTGTGACTTAAAATAGATGTTTTTTCCTTTTTCTAAAAAAATGGGAAAAAAAAAAAAGAAAAAAAAGGGAAAAGCTTGCACTTCTATGAAGGTCCTGTTACTTGTTAGCATATGAATAACGGTTTACTGTCTCCAAATACCCATTTGGTACATTTATTACAAGTTAACATAAGATGACCTGAAATGATTTAATGAAACTTTGTTTTTGTCTCAGGACTCGCTATATTATTAGTCGCAGTTAAGCTATAGTGCTTGTTTGGTAGGGATTTCGATAATTATTTTTTTGAACGTTAGAGATAAAGTGGATCCTACCTGTGGCAGAAGAATTAACAAATAACGGTTGAAATAGTGAAATAACGGTCAAAAATTTGATTTTAATTGGCTTAAAATCTAAACCAAACAAGGTCATAATGTCACTTTAAAGTGATGCATTCTTCTTGGATAATCAAGATTTCCTGGATCTAATAGAGGTACAAATTTAAATATTTTTTTTTTTTTTTTTTTTTAATTTCTCGATATTTGTTGAAGTTATGCATGCGAAGACGAGGTCACTATTGCATCACGTGTTTGTAAAAGTGTTGACAGTGTTGATATTTGTTTGCAGCTGAGGCCATTCTTCTTGGATTTCAACATTATTTGGTGATGCTTGGCACAACTGTCATCATACCGACTGTCCTGGTCCCTCAAATGGGGGGAGGAAATGTGAGTCATTAGAATGCCTGCTTGAAGTTCAATTCTATTACACTTTTGTTGCATCTCCTTGGTATTTTGCTGACCTGCTCAAATACACACCTTTTTTCCCCTTCCAGGAGGAGAAAGCAAAAGTCATTCAGACTCTGCTATTCGTTGCTGGATTGAACACCCTGTTGCAGACATCGTTTGGAACCAGATTACCTGCTGTAATTGGAGGGTCGTACACCTTCGTTGCACCCACAATTTCAATTATCCTGTCTGGTCGATGGAGTGACCCGGACCCTGAATCGGTTTGTGTTTTTGATCTCTAGCCCAATGTCTTATTGATTTAGAAATCAATTAGAGGCTCAGGGTATTCCTTTGCAAAGGAAGAGAATTACATAAAGAAAGAACATAAACTGAGCTCCGAGTTAATGGTGATATAATTTGGTTCTAATGTGTTTTACCTTTGATGGCCTGCAGAGATTCAAGAAGATAATGCGGGCCACTCAGGGTGCACTTATTGTTGCCTCAACTATTCAGATAGTCCTAGGTTTCAGCGGGCTTTGGCGTAACGTTGCAAGGTCCATTTTATGTTCCAGAATTAATGTGCTTGCACGTAGTTTCATCTGTGCTGAGAACATATGATTTTTTTTCTCACCGATGTAATATAACTGGTCTGTACTTGAGGCAATCTTCTTTTATGAATCTGTTAATTAGAGGCTGACAAAACATCTTTTTTTTAAGATGTACTCGATCTTGAACTTCTGCTTTTTCTGTGCTTGTACTATTTTTGGTTTACTAAGCAAAAGTATTTGTGCTATAATGAGCCTGTTTGGGCCCGATTTTTTCATCAAAAAAATTGATTTTTTGACCGTTATTTCACTATTCCAGCCGTCATATTTGACTTCTTCTCTCACAGGTAGATCCCACTTTTCTCCTAACGATTAAAAAATCAATTCTCAAAATCACTCCCAAACATGCTCAATAAGTTTTGGAATAGTGATTTTTTTTGGAGAATGTGATTAAAAAGTAGTATAGAGCCTTGGGTTTACTTGTAAAATATTTTATTGTGAGAATATGTGGTTAAAAATGATTTTGAGAACAAAGGATTGTTGTTTTAATGGTTGTCAAACAAAGGCTTACGCTAAATGTTTGTTTATAGGATATTGTTTTGGTTAATTTCTCATATATACAAGTAACTCATTTTCTCATGGATATCATTTATATGCACGAGTCTGTTACAAGATTTCTTAACCGTTCTTTATTGCAGTATTTTAAGTAATATATAGTCCATATGTCTATCAATGCAGGTTTCTGAGTCCACTTTCAGTTGTTCCTTTGGCTTCTCTTGCTGGGTTTGGGCTCTATGAGTTTGGTTTCCCTGGGGTACGTATGGATCTTTGAAGGGACATTTCTTTGCACACTTTTTTTTTTTTTTACTTTTTGAACAAAAATTGTTTCACATTTTTTTTTTTTTTTTTTTTGGTTGCATTTCTTTTTTTAATTCTATTGGCTATTGATTGTTACTAAAAGAACTTCCGTTGGTTTTCTAGGTTGCCAAATGTGTTGAAATTGGATTGCCACAGCTCATCATTTTAATTCTCTTTTCTCAGGTGACATTTTTTATTACACTTCTTTTTCCTAGTTTCAGCATACCACTTCCGTTTTATACGTTCTTTGATCGAGTTCAATGTGGACTCTTGTAATTAAAAGTATTAGGATAGAATTTGTTTTGCACATGTTTGCATATTTATCATGTATAATTCTTCTATTTCTTGCTTAATAAAAAAATAATCTTCCTGTTTATTTCAGTATTTGGTACACCTGATACCGCCAGGAAAGAATATTTTTGGTCGTTTCGCTGTTATATTCTCTGTGGCAATAGTATGGCTTTATGCCTTTTTGCTTACTGTGGGTGGGGCCTACAATGGGAAGTCACCGAGGACCCAAACTAGCTGCAGAACAGATCGTTCTGGACTTGTTGGTGCTGCTCCATGGTAAGCTGAGTTTTTATGCTCTAAATAATAGTTAATAACATATTTTTCCTCTGCACAATGTCTAAGAAGCACAGATTCAGCTATGTAATTTGAATGCGATATGTTATGGGGTATGTCGATACAACTTAAAAAATAAAAAATAAAAATAAAATAAAATAGGATTCACGGATTTGTGTGTAATTAAAATAAAAAATTCAGCATAATATCGTTATCATAAAAAAAAATAATAATAATAAATACAAGACTAACAATAAAAATAAAATAAAATAATAAAGCATTTTATTTTAATTCTTAATTGTTCCAACTTCATTTGTTTCAATATAACCATCATCAGCACTCTTCAATTATGACTTATTAATGATAAATTAGCAATCTTATGTAGCCCAAATTATCTAATAAGACTCCGACAATATAAATAAATTAAAACTCTAATTGTTAATTATTTAATATTATATACATTTCCAATATAATATTAAAATATATTGTTATCTATTATCTTAAAATATGTTTACTTTGTTTGAAATTATTAATTAATAAATATTTCCAATAAGTTATTAGTAAAAGTAGAAGTACTTAGTCATTATAGTCCATAATAATGAGCTTAAAAAGTGTTTAGAACAATTAGAACTCCTTTTTCTTCGTGTATCCTATGTGTTCGATATGTATGTGAAAAATTATAAAAAAAATATAAAATAATTGAAAATTTGTATCCAGTACATATTAGATCATGTTCAATAGTATCCAAGCTTCGATATGTATTAGATGCAAGGTACGTAACAAGTTACATGTATCCCTGCTTCTTAGCAAATTGTATCGAGTGAATTCAATGATGCACTCCTAATTATTCTGTCTTTTTTAAAGGAGATTGTTATGGTGAAAACGGGATGCATAATTTGTTTGGCTCTTTCTAAGTGAATTGTTTAATGGCTATCATGCACCTTAGGTCACTTTAATGATGGTTGTTAGGATGATCAACCATTTGTGAATGTAGAGACATCCGGTTTTGTTAGTATACAATGGCAGTAATTGTTTACTGGATTTCTGGGTGAATTTGATTGTATAGAGCCTTCATCCTTTTTTCTGAAAAGGAAATTTGGAAGAATTACTTTGAGCCACTAATCTGACTTTTCCGCTTGTGCCAAGATTCTTATAGATTTAAATAAAATTGAGGATACTTTTACTGAACTAGAAGTAACATGTGTCTTCAGTTTACCTAAAATGGAAGTTAAGATAATAAAGATGTGTAGATCCTTAGAATAAGCCCTTGTTTGGTGTTGCTAAAAAATTAGATTTTTAGTAGATTTTTGATAGAAGTTGGATCTAAAATTTGATAAAAGTTGTAGTTTCCTTGAAATGTGTGTTTAAAGTTAATAGTTGACTACTTGACTTTGACTTAGCTTTTTATCAGATCTTCATGAATGTAATTGTTTGTTTAGAATCTTACAGATGTGTGCTCATTTGGTGAAACTAATTTGCAATGGACAAACCATAACGGTTGGTACTATCAAAATGCAGGGAACTTGTTCATTGTGAACAATGATCTTAGTGGTACTGTGATATGATGATATGGTCAACAGAATTTTGATGGTTATGTTCTGTTTGCTTGTGCAGGATAAGAGTTCCATACCCCTTCCAATGGGGAGCACCTTCATTTGATGCTGGTGAAGCCTTTGCAATGATGACGGCTGCATTTGTTGCTCTCGTAGAGGTTTGATTTTTTCAAATCACTGCTCAATAAGTGAATATTATTAGAATTTCATTTTCTATATTATTTTCTGTGAACATTGGTAAATGGACCACATAACGGGATTGTAGATTAGAGGTCTGTTCTTTTTCTTGGTGTTGTCCTTATTTTATAATATTGAGATGTATAAATAATTCTGCCTAGCTTGGAAGTAAGATTCTTTAGGCTGCCAAATGTGACCCTGTCCAGGGATGTACCCAAGCTCGGTTTGTTTTCTTAGTGTCATCATCTTTTTCTGGTCCCCTTTTTTTCTCTTTGTTAGACTTGTCTTCTTTATTATCTCTATCTCTATCTCTATCTCTTCATTTAAATGTGTTCATCTTTGATTATTTCATCTTTCAGTCTCCTAAATCTTCACCTTTATACAATATGCCTAACTTCCCAAATCTGTCTTCCTTGCTCTCATTTCCCATGTTTAATGTCATTATAATGCCTGACTTCTATTAGTTGACACATTCCCTGTGGAGGAAATGACTATCATTCATGGAGGTACTAAATTCTCCTTTAAATAGTTTTGTGAAATTTGGGTGGAGCAGATATCATTTTCATTTCTCTTCTTTACGTTAAAGGGAAAAGGACATGGTTGGTTTGCGCCTTCTCTAGCTTGAATTTCTTGTTTCAAGCCAAAAATGTGCTGCTAACTTTTGATGTTTTAATTTAACATAGCTAACTTTTGTTTCTTCGCAATGCAGTCCACAGGTGCCTTTTTTGCTGTCCAAAGATATGCCAGTGCAACCCATATGCCAGCATCTGTTCTCAGCCGTGGTGTAGGCTGGCAGGTAAATAGGGCATTTTACAGTCTGAACTCCACTCCCACCCGCCAAAACACATTGGAAGAGAGAGAGTAAAACTACGCTAAGAACTATCCTTTGTCCCCATGAACTTGGAGTCGGCTACATGAACCCATTTTCACCACTCGCGGTCTGACCTTGATTTGCTTAAATGTCCAACAGAATCAGAACGTTTTCGATTACATGACGTCATTTAATTTTGTCACTCTCCTGTTTAACTTCCCTTGTTACATGTTCTACTTGGGATTTTGTGCATCATAGTTCTGAGTAATGCAAGGGTAAGTATATAGCCTGAACTGAAATGGTTGCAAATTCATGTATCAAAATCATCATCTTTTCAGTGTAGATTCCTAGAAAACAATATGTTAGCAAAATAAAAGATCGCTATGCTTGATTGAAATATGAATAATGAACCCCACAAATGTCACAAAAATGAGATATACTAATGATTACCTTTCAGCTCTACTACTCAAAGTTGTAGGGTCTAAATTCTCGTTAATTCAAGTTTTAAAATTGAACAGATGTAGGTAATGTGAATGTGTAGTTTACTAATAAATTAATCGGACATGTTGATTCTTATAAACTCGGTTAAACCTGCAGGGATTAACCGTCTTTCCAAATTATTTAAATTATGAGCGTCCATCATAAAATAATATGCAAAGGGAGATGTCGAAGTGAATAATCTGTGAATATTTGATGTCAAATAAACATACCGAAGTCATATCTGGTCGAGGAATTGGAGGGTGAACTGCCTAAGCCTGTGTAATTTCAGATTTATTTTCGCTGATAAATTTTCACCCTGCTTAATATAAAGGATGAATAATTAAGTTCAGGAAAGATTTCCAAAGACTTTTTATGCTTTCAAAAGATAACTGGAAAGAAGATGGCATTTTCACGTCACTGTTGCCATTGAGAATCACTTGTTTTGCTTGTGGAAGGGCCATTTGGAACGTAAAGCTCCATCGCTGAATGAAATTTTTTCTTGACATTTCTCAATAATATCAGTGTGAGAATAATTTCTTCGTTAGGGTTCAATTTTTGAATCTAATCTATATTGACATCTTAGGGTGTTGCCATCTTATTGTCTGGGCTGTTTGGAACCGGGAATGGATCGTCAGTTTCCATGTAAGATACTTTATTTGCTGTGCTTTGTTATTTAATTTTAGTTGATTCTGTGGTGACTTTATCTTAGATGGCAACTGCTTTTCTTGGCTTCCATACAGTGAGAATGCTGGCCTATTAGCAATGACCCGTGTTGGTAGTCGAAGAGTTGTGCAGATATCTGCTGGATTCATGATTTTCTTTTCCATTCTCGGTAACTTGTTCTTCAGATTTTGATCATTGAAGATACATTGATGACTTTACCATGCCTAAATCGAACAAATATAACTATGTAGGAAAATTTGGAGCAGTCTTTGCCTCCATCCCAGCACCTATTGTGGCTGCTTTGTATTGCCTCTTCTTTGCCTATGTTGGTACGTCTATATTAACCAAACCATATCTCATTACCGTACTTTGGTGACCCCTGATTCATGTGATTTGCAAATAATCTGTGGATCGGGAATATGCAGGTGCGGCAGGTTTAAGTTTTCTTCAGTTCTGCGACCTTAATAGTTTCAGAACGAAATTCATACTTGGGTTTTCCATTTTTATGGGCTTGTCTGTGCCTCAGTACTTCAACGAGTACACTGCTATTCGAGGCTTTGGTCCTGTCCACACATCAGGGAGATGGGTATGCACAAATTTGACCATCTCCTGAATCTCTTCGATTTCTTTATGGTAAACTAACTAAAATGTCATGCGTTTTCATATGCAGTTCAACGACATAGTTAATGTCCCTTTCTCGTCTGAAGCTTTTGTGGCTGGTATAGTGGCTTACTTTCTGGACAACACCCTGCACAAGAAGGGTCCCCAGACAAGGAAAGACCGAGGTAAACAGTGGTGGGATAAATTTCGTTCTTTCAAGACTGACCCTAGAAGCGACGAATTCTATTCTCTTCCCTTCAAACTCAACAAATATTTCCCGTCCATGTAAATATTGGGAGAATGGATTTCCATGGATTTTGCTCGTGTAGTTCTTAAACTAAATGTGTGCCAAGAGACTATTGACAGGGAAAAAGACATGTATGATAGCCTGACCTTTTGAAGGATATGCATAGAATGTGTTGGTATTGGCATCTTGTGCTGCAAATTATTCAGTTGTATACAAGAACTTGTGACAAGTGTGCTGCTTTAAATTCTCAGATTACAACCTCATTGAATATGTCATGTTTCGTGTCATCGCATTGATCTCGATTTTATGAGTTTGTGTATCTTGTTTTTTATGATGGTTTTTATTCAAAAAATTTGACATAATATAATATTGTATGATGGTTATCGAAAAGGGGCCAAAATGTGAAAAAAAGAAGGTTGGAATCAAATATCTTCATTGTAGATTAAAGAATCAATGTAATCTATTATTTTACAGTTATCGCAATGAGTAAGTTATAAATTTTGACATTTACTTTTCAAATTATTTAAAATTGTATTTGAATTGATTGATCATTGACATTTAAAAATATTAAAAGTAAAAGATGAGGGAAAAAATGTTAATGTTTATTAAAAAAATATAAATTATTATTGGAGTGAATAAAATTTTTCTCTAGAACATTATTTTTAATGTGTAAGTCTTAACTTATATGTAAAATAAAACTTTTAGCATAATAATTTCTCATAAGTAAAAATTGGATAAAAAACAAGAATTATATAAAAATAGTTTGTGTTACTTAAAAGTAAAAATTGAAAAAATATAAGTACAATTTCAACTTTATTTACTTTCTTGCTAAATGAAACTTTTAAAATAATAATTTCTCATTAGTAAAAATTGGATAAAAAACAAGAATTATATAAAAATAGTTTGTGTAACTGAGAAGTAAAAATTGAAAAAAAAAATATATAAATATAATGTCAACTTTTTTACTAACAAATTCTTGCTTTGTAGCTTCTTCAATTTTTCCGATTTCAGTATTTCATGTTCTCCGAAAAACCAAATTTCTTCTGTCCCTTGGGCTTTTCAACTTAAGATCCGGACAGAATCTATTTGTTGCAATGCAATTGCAATCTCATGAATTTACTTGCTACTCCTCCCTAGACCCGGCCGCGACCCATCCTTCTACCATGTCTCAACCTTCCTCCCCGATCCACGCTCCTAAAAGCCCCCAACTGACGGAGTAAATGACCAGAATTTTATGGAAAATAATGTCAAGAATTGTACTATTGATAACAATGGGAGTAGTAATGTAGTGGGTCAGAGGGAGAGGCGTCAAGGGCATGCACACAGCGGGCTGCAGCAAGGTTGCAAGCTGCTGCGGAGGCGGAGGCTGCTTTGGTTAAGGCGGAGAGGAAGCGGAGAAAGGTTTAGAGGAAGGAGAGGTTGTCAGCCCAGCTGCTGAAGGAGGAAGAGAAGGAAGATGACGTGGGGGAGGAGGATGGGTCTGGGTCCCCTTCTTCATTGAAACAGCGTGTAAGTAAGATAGTGACACCATTGGTAGGGGAGCCGGAGCCCTCACAGTTGCCACGGTGGAACATCCGGTCAACGTGACAGTTGGCTTCTATACTAAATTTCTTGAATGTATGTTATAATCTTGAGAATAGATTAGAGGATAGATAAATATTTGAACTTTGTGTTGAAATTGGTGTTTTAAAGCTACTATGTGTTTTTCTTGTGTTGTGGTATGAAGGTGTTTAGGCCTTTATTGAACATTAAAGAGGAGTTTTCTGCGGAAGAATTCGAGACAGCTTTGATTACAGCAAATAATACTTTGGGGGATATACATATGCCATTGTTGAAGGTATTGTTATTTATGTTTGAATGTTACTAAAAATTGTAGTTTTAGTTTTCTTTGAGCTTTTGCATGTTACTTTCTGACTTGTTTTGATTGAGAGTGTTGGAAGGTGAATTAATACTCCCCTGGAATCTAGGGTGTTGGATTAGATGATTATCAATACAATTGTTCCTGAATATTTTCTTTTTCATTAAATAAGAAGCAGACCATTGAATTTAGAGCTTACCAACTCAACCGAGGCTACATAGTTGAAATCACATGCAGAAAACTAAGAAGCCTAGGATCCTATTAGAAATCAGTATACATCATACATATTTCTGGACTGCAAGTATCTGTCAATTATTGGGTATTCTAGTTGTTCCGTTGTCAATGCGACTTCGTCCTTTTGTTTTTAGTTTTCCTCTGGGGACATTTTTGTATGCACATTCAGGGTAATTGGCCCTCAATTCAATATCACGGATTATTTCATAATTTTCTTTTTCTCTTATCAAGCTTTTTATGATTGATGAAGATTCTAGTTTTGATCTCCTTTCATAAAAAAGTTCTCCAGTCCGCAATGCAGATGCTTTATTATCTGTTGTGCATCTACTGTTCTTGATTTGCACTGTCTATGTGACTTTGTTTTTATCTATTATCTTTGAGAGATTCCTGAAGTAATTTTCTCATCTAGATTCATTGCTACTCTCTAGGCTATTCCTCCTGTCACTAGAATGGCCCTCGGATACGGTACTTGGATTACCATTTTGTGCAGAAAACTGAAGGATTGGTGTCATTGGGTAATTTAAGTACTAGTCCTGAACAGATTTATAATGAATGACTTAATAAAGCTCAGCTTTATAACGATACCAGTCGGATTTCCTTGGTTTGGTATTTCATTGCAGGTTGCCGAGGGGTATCTACCTATTGTTGCATCGCATGGGCGTGTGGACGCACATCTTGAGAAAATTATAAATATTTGTGAGTAGACGCTATCAGATATTATTCAGATGTACCTTGGACTCCCTGCAACTCCTAGTTATAATATTTATTTCCTGCAAAAGTTGTTTAGGTTCAAATAAAATGATTCTATTGATGTGTGGGGACTTCTGTGATTGATCATTGCATGGGTTAATCGATCACTTTAATTTGTTTACATTTAAGGTGAATTATTCGATATCTGATTATCATGTTATGCTAACGATTTTGCAGATGATTATGATCGACCTATTAATGAGGCCATCAAGGTCACCAAGTACGAGTCTTACAACTAGATATACTTCGACACCTCCATAGGACTATATCTTCATATTTAGAATTAGTTCTTTTGCCTTTCTTTTAAAATATCACATTTGCTGCAGAATCGCTCTCTCATTTTAACCTTTTTACTTTCATGTGTGCGCGCTGACAGCTAGGTTTTGTTTCTACGTATCTATTCGTTTGCTCTCACATCAGGAAGAAAGAATCATCCCCAGAACATATTCTTAGGGGAGACTCTCGTGGAAAACAAAGTTACGACATGAAACTTTTGTCCACCAATTTATTGTATAAATTTTTAGTTATACAATTTTTACCAAAAACCATTGAAATAAGAAAAAGGCCAGCGGGGAATTGAACCCGTGAGCTATTCTAAGATATAATGAAAGTTTCACCATTATGACACTTGTTGAGGTGTAATATAAAATCTAACAAAATATTATATGTAAGATTTTAGTGGTTTTAATGCAATTGTGAAAATTTTAACATCGTGCTCTTCCTTTAAATTATACAAAACAATAATGTTATTTGGTGAGTACGATTTATTCTTATAACAAAATTATATATGTTCAACTTCAACAAAATAATTATTTTATTTAAATTTTAAGCCTTGTTTGATTTTCATTTAGTTCAGAATACATTTTTCTTTCTCTTATTTTCGATCAAAATTCTTTAATAAAATAATATTACACGCAAATTCAAATTTTTTTATTATTTTTAATTACACATTCTCCATCAAATCACTATTTCAAAATGCATTTTTTTGCAAAAAATGACATCAAACGAGCCCTTAATATTTTATTACGACCGCCCGTGTTGGCTCCTGGATTCGCCCTTGATGATGATCAACAAGCTGTGACACTGGAATGGGGGTACTGCATTCGTATCTCCTTAATGTTATTTTTTCATTCTCCTTCATCAATCCATAACCAACAGATTTATCATGAATTGTAGCAATCATCGAAGGCAGAGGCCACAGCGGTATTCCACAGAAGAGTTCGTGGAAGCTGTTTCATATAACGTGGCAGACTTTGAAACTGATGATGGCGATGTAGTTGGTGAAGTTGTATATGATGAAGGATATCCAATGGGATGTAAGAAGGGGAGGAAAATGTCAAGTAGCTCAGACGGAGATGAAGAGTATCACTGGAACGAAGAAAATCCTGAAGAGGAGTGGGAGGAAGAAAAAGATACGTTAAGTACAAGTGAGGACAGTGATGGTCCCCGAAGATACAATACAATGTCTGCCCGTACTAGGACGGAAACTATATTGAGGTCAATTGGTGAGCTCCAACCAGGTCTTAGACGCAGTAATCGAGCAACCAGAAGTCATATCAATTATAAGCAGGATGAGATGTCTGAATCAGAAACCGAATCAATGAAACGTGAGAAGTCAATTGCTTTAGATCAGCACTCTAATGAAAATGATAATGCAGAGTTTTCAATGGCAATTCAAGATTCTGATGAAACCAGTGACAAGCTGCAGATGCATATCAATCAGCCTATTGAAGAGCATCCTGAGGTGGGCAATAAAGAGGAAACACATCCGCCAGAGAAATCAGAAAGCACTGGTCAAAACGAAGTTGAAGTTACATGGAAAAGGCGTTTTCTTGATCTAAATGAACTTGCTCCAGGTTCTGGCTATGATGATGGCTTAAACTCCTTGAAAGATGAAAATAGAGATGAGTTCTGAAGTTCCCCGCTCCATCAACACCCCCATCAACATAAGCAATGAATATAGGTTATACAAATTGTCTAAATTTTGTGATAAATCCACACCAGGAAGCAGCAATTGGAGAGTTCTACCTTTGCGAAATTAAAGCAGCATCTCGCGCAGTGAATTACTGTTTTCCTGCTGAGCCGTGTGATGCTGAGAAAGTTAAATAGATTTAGTTGATTTTTCAGAGCATCTGATTTCTCTTGGATGTTGTAGGCCCTCTGGCTGTATCTTCTCTATTCTAGAAGTAGAAAACAATGGTCCAGCGAGATACAAAAATGCGGGTCTGCTTGATAAAGTTTATGCATTTTCTTGGGTCAGCTTCCTGATTACCTTGGGATTAGATGTCAAAATGGGACGAGCCTCGAGTGCCCTTTTTCGGTCAACTCGATACAAGATCTTGGCTTTGGAACAAGTTTGACCGTGGATAACAAAATCTTTGTGATGTTCTCGGGAATCTTCAAACATGTCATAAGCAGGAAAAGCTCGAAAGGCATTTTAAACAAAAGGGTGCTTGTACCCAAAACCAAGGAAATGCTACCCTGTTTTAATTCCTTTCTGCATTTCCAGTTCGGGCTTAATATTCCTTGATAAAAAAAAGCCTGAAATTCCAATTCTTTAACGGGGGGAATAATTTTATGTACAGATGAAGAGTGCATTAAGGCTAACAAGAGAAAACTAAACAGAAAAATCTGTAATTTTATACTCCTTTTCGCTTGCTGCTATGATTCTATTTACCCCTAACATCTTTTCCATCAGTAAGATGAAACTAGACGACACTTTCAGAGAAAACCGAATCTTATGAAGCCTATACAGCTCCAGATGTATATACACGATTCGTAAGATCTACAAGGTACCTTTGATCACTGCAAAATTTGTTCATCTCAGTTCCACGGGTCCTATGATCTTTACATTACGCGTAGTCTCAAGGATCATCTCATGTTGCAGCATACAGGCCAGCCCAGCGGCTGCAATTTGTTCCACATACAGATCATCTGCCTCGGAGACTGGTAGTGAGCCGTAATATAATCTTGTATACATCCAAACTGGCAGAACTTCAAGCTATGTACGTACTCTACAGGTCTCGAGCTATTAAATTTCTCCACCCACATTCCCATGCTCACGTCCTCCATTTTAAACAACTGCACATCAAGGAATCAGTCAGCATCGCTTGCAAAAACGGTTACAATTTTCAACTGATAGGATGCGCATCTGTAAATGGATTTCAAAAAGTCAGTCGGTGGCATTTACCCTTAATCTACGCTTCTCGAACTCTGAAACTATATAGCTTGCAATGTCTGATGAGATAATGTAGCCCGGCCCATTAGCATATGGTGGATAATTTTCCTCTGGCCATTCCTGAACCATTAGCGAAGGCAGAACAACAACATTACCGAACCGTGTATAGCATTTTGATGAATGAGTTAAATGTGCATACCTTGTAAGACCAAATTGACATATATATATATATATATATATATAATGATCAAATTCAGCTCTCCCTCACAGATGAGGGGTCTGACTTGCCAAAAAGGGAAAAAATGATTGTGCTCCTCAAAGGATAGATGTAATATATTTCCAGTTTTCGATAGCATCTAGAAGACAGTTCAGAATCCTAGTAGTTTCTCATTGTCCAATGAAAAAGCAACCGCATTGGATGCAGAGGGCTAATAATGGCAAGAAAACTAGAAGTTATAGTTTCATTGTAGTAGGAATATGAAATACCAATCATTATCAAATTATGGAAAGAAATTTTTTCACTAGTTCTGCATGTATAAGCAATTTTTCCAGTAGTTCTGCATGAGCCTATTTTGAGAAGAGGAAGCAGATTTTACCATAATGGAAACTGAAAAAATAAAAACTGAATATTCGAGCTGTTTGCCACTAGTAAACTAAATGGAAACTTAAACTAAGTATCATCCTGTTCATCACCAAGTGGCCTTGAGCACATTTTAGTGCTCGCAATTGAAAGTTAAATTACATGAACATTAGGGACATAAGGTGGATAACAGTCTAGCATTAGAAGGACAGAAAAAAAAAAGAAAAAGAATAAATCAACTACGAGTAAAATGTAAAAGGTTGAAACGGTACCTCATACGTCACTGCCCATTTACCGCTGCGTAGGGGCTTATGATAGTAATTTATATTTCCAATGTACAAGCTCTTGTTCTCAGATATTTTCCTTGCTTCCTCAACAACTGCATCCACCCTCACAAATGTGTCATCATCACCCTTCATAATATACTTGGAAGATGCTGCTTTAACCTGCAAGGCACAAAATCTGATCAATCCAGATACAGAAACAATCTCAGTCCTCACTTCCCAATCAATCCACTACTCACCCCATATTCACAGATGGCAACAGTTTTCAAGATGACAAGGTCATAGTTGTCCATGTATGGTACTATGACAATGTCACCAAAGAACTCAGCTTCATTTTTTAATTCCACATTCACTTCTTTTCTTGCATGCTGTTGAAAGATTAGTATCAGAAGTAATTTCAACGGTCTTCAAATCAAGAATTCATTTAGAAACAATATTGAATTTTAATATGCAGCCAATTAGTTCACCAACCAGTGCTACAAAGAAACGAGCAACAACGTTGGAAGATATGATTAGCTTATGCTGCATCCAAGACTTCCTCACGGCCATTCTTTCAGCGAAGTGGTTGCCTGCTGAAAGAATACCAACAAACAGTTCAACAGGCCCATCTGGAATAGGTGGAGCCTTCCATCTGTTATCCATGTCAAGATGTTTCTGAGGAGCAAAACTGGGATGTGAGGCGGGCAAGGAAGCGGCAAAAATAGAATGGACATCAATGTCCCCATTCAAATATAGTCCAGTGGCATCCTCAAGCGCAAACCCCTAAATAATATCAAGTAAACTCTTAAGCAAAGTCAAACATATCATAAATCAAGAAGATGGTACATTACTCACAATGCGATACGGAAAGGAGGTGACGTGCCTCCCATCAACTTGGACATGGTAACCCTCCAAGCCAGCACTAAGTGTAAGGACAAATAACTTGTCTTCTGTGAATGGAAATGGCCAATCAATAGAAACCTTCTTTGTTCGCCCAATTAATCGATTTAACCACCATGTAGCTTTTGATTGCTCCGAGCCATCATTCTCATCTCTACTCCACTTTTCACATTTTGGCAAGCCATCAACTGTAGATGATTTAAAGCATCATCCATGAAGTGCAGGCTCAATAAAATATCAAGAGTTTAGTAAAGGATAAGTTAAGTCGCATAAACTGCTTAAGCTCAATACAACTGATTAGTAAGAAAATAGTAAATTGAAACAAAGCAGACTAACAGTCGATCACACGGACAAAACTCTTCTCACTCTTTTCTTTTCACAGAATAAGATTTCATATGAAAGGGGAAACACTAATTTGCCTTTCAGAACTCCGAGTGATTATATTTTCCATAGAATACTATGTTTCTTCAGCCTCATGGCAACTCCAAATGATCAAAGCAATCTCTTTGTTCATTGGATGCTGGATCCGTAACCCCCGTCAATTCTCTCCCATAAAACACATCTTCAGTCTTCCACTCTAGTAACTTGAACCTAGGTGAATAATTTCCTCATGTACATAGATATAAACTGAAAGAAGCAAATACATCCATGTATATGGACAATATAGGCAAGTGATTTAGGTGAACTAGTTACAACAATCATTTACACCAATCATCAGAGTACTTGTCATAGTATTTCCAATATCTTTTTAAGAATTTTTCGCAAAAGATAATATGGCATAACAATCACCCCATTTCAAAACAAACCCTGTTACCATATTAATATATCGAAATCAAGCAACACATATAATCCGTGGAGTGGTTCTCACCAGACTCATCATCATCCCGGGACTTCCACCCCTCGCACCGCTGTGCTGTCCCCCACTGCATCCTATAACAAGTGTTATGCTCAATCACAGGTTTCCCACTCCAATCGCCCTTTAACCGGGGATTAAAATGCAGAATCCTTGGTGGGTCCTCCCCGTCCACCGTTTTCAACCCCTGCAACTCCATCATAAACTGCGAAACCATCGCATATTGCCCCTCCTTCAACAGAGAAATCTTCGGGTCAGTCTCCATATGTGCCACCCTCGGCTTTCCGACCACAGTAATATGCGATCCCAACGTCAACCCACATGGCAAAACCATCACTCTCTCATTCTTCCAGATAACATCGGCAGATATAGACAAATATTGTGGGCACTCCTCACTTTTATTACTATTATTACTACCATTTGTATTATTAATACTGCTGCCTCTATTTTTCCCGAACAACTCGAGCTCTTGCCAAAGTTTTTCCCCAATTTTAACAGCCTCTCTAGCAGACTTCAAAATCCCATTTTCCGAGCTTGACCATTCGGTCCCTGCACTCAAATTCAAGCTCGACACCCGGGATTTAACCAACTCTTTATTTCTTCTTTCGGGTTTAGACTGATATGGAACATCAAGCGGGCGATTGCGGGCATCTTTTTCATCCAAATTTTCCTCGCTCTCTAACATGGAGTTGGACTTAGGAAGCCCATTACTCTTACCAGAAAATCCCTCTTGAGAAACAGAGTCAAACCCATATTCGAAAATGAAGGGAAATTCAAAACTCACCAAAAAAATGTATAGTATCCCAATAAAAATCAGAACCTGAACTGACCGCCGACGGCTCAGCGAAAATAATATGTCAAATTTTGCTCTTTTCATAACTTTTTCAGTATAAAAAAATCTGAAAGAGAAGGCAGAGGTTTACAACCTGGTTTTGAGTTGTAAAAACGGCGAACGGCCGGCTCTACTGTATTATTCGTAAAACGGCAAAATTAGAGAAAGAAAGTGAGTCAGCAATCCATAATTGCAAGTTGCAACCGGCTTTCAAGCGAGAGATCGCTACGTGTACACACGTAGGTAGAGAGAGAAAGCACTTGGAGGGTGAATCACCTCGGGAGTGAAGAAAAGAATTTCAATGACGAATATTTTTCCTACCAATTCATTTCCCAACTAAATGAAAAACGAGAAAGTTCGTACCAAATAGTTGAACCAACAGTTCTCAACAATTTGATCCATTCAAATCTCGATCAACTTATCTATTTCATTAATTTATTTAAGTTTTTCCCTTCATTTTCTAAATTCTTGTAATCATAGTTTTCAAAAGCAACCTAGTCATTGACCTGAACGAAGTTTTGAGTTGGTCCCATGAGTCATTGTCGATATTAAACTTTAGCTAAAATACATTCTTTTCAAAATAAAATACGTGTAATATATATATATATATATATATATATATATATGGTAACTAGAAAAGTTTTCATGTAATTCCTTATCATCCAAGTCAAGTGAATGATCATAATGAGTTTTGAGTCAATCTTTAATTTCTTTTAACATTTGTTTTGATTCTGCACATTATTTTTTTTATGATTTTGCAATTTATGAACGTTAAAGTGCTTATGCCTACATTTAATGTAGATTAAAATTAAAAGTTTAATATATTTTAATATAAATTGATTAAATGTGCGATTGAAAAGTTGTAAATTTCATTAAGTATAAAATATGTTATTAAAATTAGTTATTGACTTTTATTTTAAATTCATATCAACTTTTAATTTACATCAGACAGAAACTATGCGCCTGTTTGAGTTGAAAAAAATTATTTTTGAACTCGTTTGACCAATTTTATTAAGGTGTTTCTTGTATTTAGAAGAACTTTTAGATAAAATCGATCTAATGTGATTTTTTTGATAAGTACTTTTGAAATAGTTCGTCCTTTTAAAAATCAGTTTTCAAATAAAAATTAAGACGATTAAAAACAAAAATCATGTGAAATTAGCTTGTGTTGACTTAGTCAAATAATAAAGTCATATAAAGTGGGGTCAACGTAATAATCTTTCAATTAAAAAAAAAATAATAAAAGTAATCATTTCCAGTTAAGATAGTTAAACAGAGCCCAGATTAGACAGTTACAAATTACAATTTTTATTTTTTATTTTTAAATAATGTTTGATATAGATAAGATGAAAACACAAAAAATTATTAGGAGGAGAGCTAGGTGTTGTAATTTGTTCGAATAATCATAATAAAACTTTAGTTAGTAGTATCGATGTCCAGATCGAATCACCATCAATGGTTATTGACATCATCATAGACATCGTCATTGACAATTACCAATGGATGTGCATTAATGATCACTAAAGTGTATTATTGTCGATGATTTTGTTCGGATTATCAACCTATTCATTAATAATAAAATAAATATTGAATTTAACTATCAGTAACTTATAAAAATTCAAAAAGATATAGAAAGAACAAAAATTCATAGGTTTTTCATTTGGCTTCTGCAAGTGAGAAAGCACTATCGATAATATCGTTCTTGATAATTGAGAGGAATTTGAGTCTGTAATCACTTTTTGTTAAAATAAAAAGTTATTGGATACTCTAAAGTTTGACTATCCAAACATATAAAACAAAAAAATAACTTTTATAACGTTATTGGGATTCATAACCGAGAATTATATTAAGGGAAAATTTCATATTAAGAGATTAAGTATCACTCTTTTCAAAATTAAGAAATAATGTTTAAAACTTCAAAAATCAGATATTAATTAAATTTCATTTATAAAATAATATATGAAAAATATATTTTATCGATTAAGTATATTAATGTCGCAATTCTATACAATTTGTTCACAATTATCGAATAAATTTATCACAAATTATTTCACAATCACAAATCAAAAATTTTATAAGCACAATCACAAATCAAAAATTTATAGGTGTTAATTTATTTATCGATTACAAATCACAAATCACAAATTTTATAAATCACAATTTATTACACGATCACAAAATATCAAATTATTGGTCACAAATTAACAAGTTTTTAGACCATTTATTGGTTACAATTTATCTATTTCATTGATCACACATTAACCAATTTATTGGCTACAATCAATCAAATAATTTATGACATTATTGTCTCTGGCCACACTATTACCAGAACCACCACCACCACCTCCCGACAGCACCACTATCTCAAACAAGCCAACACCCACCACTAGTGGTGTCAAATTGGGCCGGCTTGATATGGCCCATCGGGACCAGCCCCGAAAAAAATGAACCTTAAACACGGGTTAATAAGTATGCAATCCGGTTCGGGCCGGTTAAATTGGTTGGACCGAACAATTAACTGTTGAGCCCACTAAATTAAAAAAAAATAAAATTGAATTTATGGCAAAACAAAAATGAAAAATGGGCAAATCAGCCTTATTAAATGTACGAATCTACTTTATTTGATATAAGAAGGCCTACCAACTACCTACTTTTTTTATTGTTAAATAAAGATAGTTGCCTTCCTAGTTGCCTTCTTTATTGTAGATAATTTTTCATGCAAACAAGAACTGGTGGGTACAATAAAGGAGGCAGGCCCGTGACAGCATAAGACTATGACATGGCTATCACAAGCCTGTCACATGTCATAGCCATAAGGCTCGTAACAGCCCAATCTAAAACTTTCACAATTTCTCTTCATTTCTATACACGCTTTTTTGCTTTTAATATTTTCTTGCCTAAAATGAAGAAGAAGTAAAATACATGAAAATTAATCAATATTTTTGACCGTTGCAATTTTTTTTTAATTTTTCACTTATATATATCCTAATTATTTTTAAATGATAGTTGTTTTCCAATAAATCTTGATGATGAAACTCCATAAGTTGAAAAAAAAAGAAAAGAAAACAAACATCAAATGTGTGGCAAATTTCAACATTTAGAAAGAGGAAAAGCAGTGTCTAAAATTTGTTCAAAAGAATACGTTTGGGCTTGCGGTCAAGGCATCGGCACATTACAACGACACAAAAAATCTCATTTTAAGGAAGCGGGAAATTTAGATGCTAAACAAGCTCAAATTACTTCTTTTAAGTCTCCTTGTGGATCAATTACTTTTTCTCACTTTGTTTATTCGCAAGAGAAAATGAGAATAGGAATGTCTGAATTTTTAGCAGTAAGTGAGTTGCCTTTCACTTTTGCAGAAAATAAATATTTTGAGGAGTTTATGCAAAAGTATGTTCAACTCTCTTATCGACGCGTAAGCAGAAATACTATTTGTTTTGATATTATGAAATTATTTCATATAATGAAGCAAAATTTAAAAACTGAATTTAATAATTTTAATGGAATTATTTCTTTTACGTCTGATTGTTGGTTCGGACGTAATAATAATGGTTATGCTTGCGTCACTGCTCATTTTTTTTGATAGTAATTGGTTATTACATAAGAAAATTATTGCTTTTCATTTACTTGAATACCCACATAATATTCCAAATTTATAAGAGATTTATTGCAAGTTTTCAATGAATTCGACATTTTGCATAAATTATTTAGCATTAGTTTTGATAATGCTAAACCTAATACTGCATGCATTGAGATTTTAATCAGAACTCTTAAACCCCAGTTTGATGCTAAATTATTTCATATGCGTTGTGTCTATCATATACTTAATTTAGTTGTACAAGATGGTTTGAAATTAATAACACCGCAAATTTCTAGAATAAGAGAGACTATCAACTATATTACCTCCTCAAATTCTAAACAAACAAGAATTTGGAAAAATATGCAAAAACTATGGACTGAGAAGGAGAAAATTTCTTGATGATATTCCAAATAGATGGAATTCAACATATCTTATGTTAAAGTCGTGTCTTAACTACTCAAATGGAAGAAAAAATTCGAAAATATTATGAAAACATGCCACTAATTTTTTCGCTGGTAGCTATGATGGATCCAAGAGTTAAATTATTTGGAGTTCAATGTGCTATGGAAAAACTTTCAGAAAGCTTAAGTTTTAATATAAATATTACAAATCGTGAATTGGAATGTTTTATTAATGAATTGTATAATTCCTATTTAAGTAAATATGGAAATGATGAAAGTGTTTGTTCATCTATGAGCTCTGCAACACATTCTAAAGGTAAATATTCTTTTATTCTGAGATAGCTGAGAGACGTCACGGTACGTATAGTTGTAACATTGGCGCGAACACTAACCATGCTGAGTTAGAAAGATATTACCAATTTGATCATTACAGTTTAATTCCAGAGGATGAAGTACTAAATTTAGATACCTTAAATTTGTGGAAAACAAATGAAAGATCTTATCTAATAATATCAAAAATGGCACGAGATCTACTAACAATTCCAATATCAACAGTGGCATCCAAGTTTGCTTTTAATGCAGGCGGTAGGGTATTGGATGAAAGAAGATCAAGACTGAAGGAAGACATTTTGAAGCTCTTATATTTGTGAAAGATTGGATATTCACAGATAGGAGAATGCAAGATAAAATGATCCACAACATCACTGAAGACTTCAAAAGCTTTGCAAAAGAAGTTATCGAAGATTAATAGGCGAGCTTAGAATATTTTAAACAACTGAATTATAGTTAAGTAGGTGCCAACCTAATTGGGATGTGCTTAAACTATGTATACATAAATGATTAATAGTTAAGTATGTGCCAACCTAGTTGGGAGATACTTAACTATAATCACTCAGTTGTAAAGAATTATCGTGATTCTTTCGAAGTTGGAAACAAATAAAGTAAATCATTTATCCTACCATTGAATTCTGGATTAGATTTGTGTTTTCCCCAATTTCAACCTTTATTTTGTCTTGAAAAATTAATTAAATATTAATGTAGATATCACTATTGATAGAAAGCCTATTGACAACCTATATTTAAAGATGTGAAAATTAATGTAGCTACAACTATTTAGATATGTCAACTGTCAACAAATTAACCAAGTACAACAATAGGCTTGATAAAGGATGTAAAAGTGAATTGAAATTTTGAAAATTGGATTTGTAAATATCGACAGTGTATTCTCACTTCATCCATGTAAGCGGGCCGATCCGTTTTGGACCCAATCGAACTAGCTCGGGACCACCCGACAATTTTTCGGGCCACGAGTGGTCCCCCGAGTCCATACAATTTTTTCGATCAGTTCGAACCGGCCCGCCCGTTTTGACAAAACCATCACTACTTCACAACCAACTCGACAACAACGACCACCGCCAG